CGCAGTTTGCCCCGAACGACTTTGCTCGGCTTGACGCACGACGGATTTCTTGCGCCCGCTTCGAGAGCACGGTCTTTCTTGACGGACTGCGGTATTGTAGGTGACACCATCGTCGAAGGCAATTCGACCTCGACCTCGGGGGGCGCATTCGCGCCACAGCTGGTCCCCATCTAGCCCTTCTCGCGTCGACGGTGGCGTGCCTGGTTGATACACGAGCGTGTGGAAGCCAGGCCCAATGACCGAGACGGACGCCAACGGGCTCGGTTCGACCTGGTTGCTTCGATCTTGGCGCTCAATCGGAATCGGATCGAGGCGAAAGAGGCGCAGTGGCGCGCCAACGTCGTAACGCTGGGTGGACAGCGCAGTCGTCAGCAGCGGTTGGATTGGCGGCGGGGACGCAGGTCGGCGCCATCGCGGTGCCGGTGCAACTTGTCGATCGACGTTTGCGTCGTGCAGGGCAGGCGGCGTTGTGGCGCGAAGGGGCGGCACCACGGGCGTGCCTCGCCCGACGTAAAAGGCCCAAGGGCGTGCGGCTGGCGGTCGTTCGTCAGGTGCAATCCAAGCGACGCATCCACCGTTCGCGCATCCGAACGCTGGTCTTCTCGAAAGAGGCTCTGCAGCTCGACGGGCTGCGCGGCAACCATGTCCGTCATTGTAAGGTTCACACGACGTGAGTCATCTTGCGGGGACAGAGTGTGGCTGTGCGCCTGCAGCTGCGGTACGTGATAGATGCGTTCCTGACGGGGTTGATCCACCGCACTAAGTTTGCTACGCAGGTTCAGAACGCCCAAGGCACGGCGGCGGAGCAGCTACGGTGTAATTGAAACGACGTGAACCTCGTTGCGGTTCAGTACCTGAAGCTGATGACTGTGGTGGCTCGACTGCTGAGCAATGTCACGATTGAGGTCCGAGTGCACCCACTTGGGCACGATGCCCCGCAGCATCTCGTAACCAATGCTCACGACCGCGGTGTCGGCAACAGCAGCGACGAGCCCGTACGGATAGTCGGTATTTATTGCCCAAATCGTGTGACCTGCGCAGCCCTTTTGATGCCAAAGAAGGGTACTGCATCGCTCGCCTACCGGTTGCCACTTGCGCAAGATCGACGTGAACTGTGATGGGTGGTGCATCCTTGGTCTTTATTGTCGAGTGCGATGGTGTAGAGTCAACGTCCACGACAGCTTGGAGGGTGCAAATGCCTTGTTTGAGGATGAACACGTGGTTCAGTTTGGCGTGAACTGGAAAGATCACTAGGAGATAACACTCGAAGCAATCAGGCAATGAAGTGTGAAGCCGTACCCGCGCTTTTGGTGTAGACGACCTCGGTCATTGCGTGGTACAAGTGACCAATACGGTCGAGGTCGAGGCGTGACGCCCAGCCGAGAGTCTGGAAAAAGGACACCTCACGGCGCATTGTAGTCAACGTCGCGGCTTCCCAGAGCTCCGTAAACGTTTGCGCCGTAAACGAGATGAGCTGCGTCGTATCATGCGCCATGGCCGAGAGGTTTCTATTGGACATATTGTCTGCACTTATGACGACAACGTGCCGCGTACCGCGTCATTTGATTGGTCAAGATTTCAAATTCGCCAAATCCATGGCCCGGCCCCACGCGCTTGAGTGCGACGTGCTCAAGGGACGGAAGCGACGAAAACAAACTCACTTTGCCCGAGACGACGACGTAGTAGCGCTTGGGCGCATCGCCGTGGGCGTAAACTACGTAGAAAACTGAATATGACACGAGACACGATGAAGCCACGTACTCCATTGCCCCTTCTCAAATGTGTCGTACTTGGCCGACGCCACGATGTTGGACATGGTTTCGTCCGACATGCTCTGGAAGATGGTCATGTTGGCGAGATGCTTGATGATGAGCTTGATGCGCTGGCTCACAGCTTGCTCGACGAGGTGCCAAAACCGAGGCTTCTTGGCAGTGTCTTGGCCCATGATGCCCTCGGCGACCTTAACGTTGGCGCGCACCCAGTGGGCCTTGGCCATGCTACAAGCCGTGCCTCAACCGACGTGTATCGTATCTCGATGCTCTTACATGTACTGAGGCTGCACCACGGACGGTACCGGACGGACTAGCATGGAGCACGCCGCCATATACGCGGCTTTGGTAATGCGCAGCGCTCGAAGCGGTGTCTCGGCCACGACATTGTACAAGCTACGCCACGTCACACATCAGATGTGCGCGAAATAACGTGCGGACCTTGTCGCGGGTGTCGCAAAGACGATCTCGCCGCCATACACGTCGCCCGCCTTGAATGTCCAGCACGTATGCAGTGACGTTGACAAGGACGACGCGCTCACCCGGCGGTTCGGGCTGTCTGTCGCGAGCACTTCTTTCTTAGTAAGCGGCACTGATATCACGATTGGCTCTTCGGGCACGATCGCATTCATACGCAGGCGGGGATGCGCTTCGAGAGCTTCATAATCGTCGGCAGCACCGACTTGGAGCGTTTCTCATGACGTGGTGCCATGAGCGTCTTGCTTGTCGTTTTGAAGTTGCTCGTAATGTCTCGCATCGGTGCGACAGCACTGACGGCTGTCGTCAACGGCAAGTCCACCGGAGACAAGATGTGCTTGGTGTGGATCTTGGAGGCGGTCGCGATGCCGTCGAGAAAAATGTACATGCTAGTGAGACGATCTCCGATGCGGACAATCTTGTCCCCTGGTGCAAAGGCAACAACGTCATGAGCTACCGCCGACACTGGCGGGAACCACAGCGATGCACACAATGGCGCAGTGTCAGACGCGTCGTCTGCGAGGTTGGCTACCGCCGCACGCAAGTGCCAGCACGTTTTTGTTGGCTCCCCTAGGCGCTGGAGAGTGCTCGTGACGTCCTGCGCTCGCAAGACGAAGAGCGTGCTGGCCGTGTGCGCCAGAATCGTCATGGGGAGGATCCTGTCGCCGTTCTCATCGACCGCGCCGTGCGTCTGCAGCACGTCGCCGCGCCGAAATGTGTGAATGCGCCGCCCGTATGCTGCACCGAGCGGATGATCGCTCTCCGTCGCTGGTGCGGGTTCGAGTTGCGACGACGATTGACATAACGGGTGCCCCTCGAGCGCGTCCGGACATGCATCGATATGCTCTCGACTGTACGCGCCGAGCTGGCCTCGCAAGACGATGACAAAAATGGGATCGACGTCCTCTCTGTCTTCGGCGCAGACAACGTCGCCTTCGGCCACGTGTTGCAGCACCAAATACGGCACCAGCTCGAGGCGCAAGTAGAGGGGTACGTGCGTGAGAAGCCCGAGATTGTGCAGCAGCCGCGTCACGTTCTCCACGTCCTCACGTGCGGCAAATCGACCAAGAGGACACTTTGCCAGAAGCGACGAGGCACAGAGCGGCAGTCCTGGCAAGAGGCCATCAAGCCACAACGCACAAGCACTGCGTGGGATCTTAAGCAGCACCGAGGGTTCAGTGGTTGAGGCGATGTCCAATCGGCGGTAATGACCTGGTGGTGCGTCGTGCCCAAAGAAGTCACCAGGCAGCACCGTTCGCGGTGGCCTTTCTGCGTGGCCGTGCAGCGAGACGGCGCCCGACACGAGAAAGTACGTGGCATCGACTTCGCTTGCTTGGTTGTACACGTGCTTTTGCGCTGGAAAGGATAGGACTGTCATGACTTCAACAAGCCGGTCCACGATAGCATCGGGGAGTTGCTGCAGCCCCGCTTGCCATATGCACCACCGGTGCAACGCAGCCCGGTCCAACGGCCTGCGCTCCATCGGTGGAATGGATGCTACTTCGAGCAGCGGTCGGTCACTGCAATCGGTGTGCAAGACAAGGGCAAACTCAGCCCTGTCAATGAGCACGACGTCGGAGGATTCCATGGCTCGCAGCATGGTCACGAATGGTCGCTGCAGAAGCCAGTGGTGCAACGAATCGTCGACGCGTTTGTTGGTGCCGTTCCAGAGGTGTCGATCGCCGTACACTTCGCCCGACGGAATCGTACCCACGAGGCGGTAGCTGGCTGACGCGCTTACCTTGCGCTGCGTGCCGCTCGTGGTATCGTCTGCAGCAACCATCAGCAATGTTACAACAGGGAAAACTACGGGACGCAAACCAACCTGCCGTGTCGGTCACTTCGATGCAGTAGAGCCCCAGCTGCCCTGATAGCACAACGATGATGTCATGCCAGTCGCCATCGGGCACGACAACTATGACAAGCCCATCATGAGCGCTGCGTCACTCGTAGTCGCTCTGAGTACGTGGCTCGTTGGGTGCAAATGTTTTCAGCTGACAATGGTCAACGAGGCGATCCTATATTGTTTCACGTCCATCAGAGCCACGAGTAAGTTTAGAACCCACTTGGCTCGCAACGCTGAGCTGAGAGAAGAGCGTGTACTGTGTGAGGTACGACCGCAGCTTGGTCCGGCCTGTCGAGTGAATATCCACGAGCGTTGTCTACGAGCTAGCACTCTAGCCAAGCTAAAAGTGGCGAGACAGGCGCACCGATTTGGCGTACAACATAATCGGTTTGGGGTTCGTATACGCAATGGCGCGCTCGATTGTGTCCTGCGTGCACAATTCGTGCCTTGTGCAGCAATGCTTGCTGTACCTTGCGCAGTGCAAGCACGAGACAACTTTCTTGGGCGAGCTACCATTGGATTCCAGCGAGTGCATCTCTCGAGGTATCATCGGTGACAACGTACGAGGCTGTATTTTCGGTGCGTCACGGTCTGCTTGGACGTGATTTCTGTCAAGCCATACTCACCTAAGGATATATCGGGCTCTGTACTGTGCCTGGCGAAAACGTTGATTCACCTCCTACGCCAGAAAATGTGTACTGCTCGATGCAAAGAAGCGTACCAGCATAGTGATTCTCAACGCTGTCGCCAAAGTCCATGGGCTCATGTGACTCGGTGTAAAGCCGAGCGAGCCACGCTGGAAATGTCTCTTGACGGTTCGTGCGCTGGGCAAACTCTGTGTTTTTGTACGCACAAAGCGAGCCCTCGAGCTAGAGACACACCATACGTATCGCGTTTGAAGGCGAGAAGCACGCACCACATAGTACAGCTGCGATTCAGGCGTGACGAGATCGTCCTAAGGTGTCGTGCTGGCGTCGCGACGTTGAAATATGAGCGTTGTACCTGGTAGTGAAGGACGTCGCTGTCGTTGAGCTTCTACAACCTGCCATCAAGATCCGTTTCCACTGTCGCATGTAAGTACGAGGAGTGTGCACTCGTTGGCGACGTCTATGCTCACATATGGAAAACAAGCGGCTTTCGTCCGCGCTACGTACATAGCAGTGCTTGGGACGACAGAACAGCGAGAACATCCTTGAGCAAGTGTGCAATCACTCGAACATCGCTGTCAAGACGGTCATGCATGCTATGGATTCGACTTCTGCTGCACGCTCCAATGCTCTCGAGGTGGACGTACGGGACTTCGGCTGCCCACGTGACTGCTTTGCTCTGGAGCTTGTCCATCCGGGCCGCATTCGCATGGGGCTTTACAGGACTCGACGGCAGCTTTGTGCTTCCGGCGTGCAGACGCATCGTCGAACCTCGCTCCAAAGCTGGTGCGACCATTCTCGTCGGCGCAATCTCGGCCCGTTTCGCACCGTTTTTGAGAGGCGTCTAAAAAGGCGCCACTAAACCGAACATCGAGTCGATTTGGGCAATCTTTCATGGTGCGATAGCCATAGTAATAGCACCTCGATCTCGACGTCGCTACCTGGCCAAGCGTACGTGATGAACTTGGATTCACTACAGACGGTCCATGAGTTTCAACAACTAGAGTATGCTCATAGCAAAGTCAAACTCGATCCCGTGCAACCAACGACCCCGGGAGCTACATCAGGGTGTGGTTCAGTGTTGGACCAGTCAATAACTGCACACTTGCAACCAATATCCGACCTAGAAGCTTGCAGCCCAACATTGTACTAGAAACACGCGACGGGGGAAAACGAAGATGGGTAGTGTGAGAGCTGTCGCCTTCGCCATTCATAGTCTGCCGACGAACGGCAAGCGCTTTTCTCTGGATGTCCACCTCCGGTGCTGCACAGGGAGCCCTATTGTGGGCCACTAGAAGACTAATGAACATCAAGGCGTTCTCGTAGATTGCGTGCGTTCCGACACCGTTGTTGGCATAGCAACAATCTTTTGTAAAGAAATCCATTTGTATTGGATAACGAGTAGGTTTAGGAAGCCATGACGACTCTATCCACGCCACGCAAACGAAGTGTAGATGCCTTCATCCACGTCAAACGCGTCGCCTTTGTCAGCTCCGCCGGCGCCCGCGACTACCATGAGCTAACAACCGTAAATATATGAGCTTCCAGGCATCCAAAAAGTAGAGCCACAGTGTACCGGGATCAAGTGTTCTTCGCGTTGATGGCAGTCGCGTGCGTGCGGCAGTGTTGCCCAGCGCTTGAGCGCCTCGCGTCGGCCCTCTACGGACGTTTCGAGAGCGGCTTCAGTCAGCGCCACATTGAACTTGCGCGCGCGGCGTTTGCTATCGACGACGCTACGGCTGGGGTGGAAGGTCGCGCCAGACCCGACGATCGCAATGTTTTCATCACGGAGCACAGAGAGCGCTTGGCCGATCTTGAAGTGCAACACTGGGTCCCAGCCCGCGACGACGCTCACTTGGACGATCGGGATGTCTTCGTCTGGGTGAATAAGCTTCATTGGCACAAACGTGCCGTGGTCCCAGCCGCGCGTCGGGTCGAGGCGCGAATCAATGTTGGCTTCTGAGAGGAGCTGGTGGATCTTTTGGGCGATCGCTGGCGACCCTGGCGCGTTGTACGAGATTTCGTAGGCTTGGCGAGGAAATCTACGTGCAGAATGTAAGTGATGTGTGGACTTGCGTGTGTGGCGTACCCGTAGTAGTCATATAGAAGTGCAGGGGACGCCCCCGATGAGATGGCGACACACGATTCTTCCCAATGCGCTGTCACCAAGACGATAGCCTTGGGGCGCGTCGATGTATCCTTCAATCCAAGGAGGTTCGGGATCATTGTTTCGAGAAAGCGACGTGTCGGGCCATGCGTACGGTCCTTCGCCGAGCTGAGCACGGGCAACGGACCAGCACCGTGGTTGGCAAAGACGGCCGCAGCTCGCGTGGAGAGTGCAGTGGTGGAAGTTGTCATCTTGGGAAACATTGAAAAGTGAGTGTGATGGAATGGCACGTCAAGAGGCCAGCACATGCAGCAGATGGTACGGGGGTCCGTCGAAGTCCGCTGCGCATGTCTCTCGGAAGTTGCGTCTGGGGAATTCTCTTCCGGCCGAATAGTGTACACAAAAGGTCATCCCATGTACCACGGTTTTTGGCTCCATGTGGCTAAAACAGCTGCTGCAAGGAGGGGCCGGTTCTACAGTGTAGTGTGTTGACCCCACACCAGCCGACGTGGTCAACGAAAAATAACTATACCGCTAAGTGTACCGCTGCTCATAAACTAGCATAAAGACACGGTAGACGACGCGTCGGATTGCTATCACACGCGCCCGTGACACATGGAGTACTTTTTTAAAGCCAAGTTGAAGTACACTTGATCACTCTCATTGGACGCTCCATCCGAGAAACAGCGATTTCCGTTCACAAACAGTATTTTCGCTAGTCACAAGCTTTAACCTCATCCTTCACCAATCGAATTTCTCGTATTCCACCGCGCGTCTCATTGAATGCAAATTACGTAGTATTATGGTCGTCACCGACCTCTCTTTTAAGCCGTCCACGCAAACGCTTCGTACATGCCTTTGTGCACGTCAAACGCCTGCGCCAACCCTTCGCCACCCGCGCCCGCGACGACCATCAGCTAGAGACGACGTCATCTCAGTCCACAAAACAACGGCAACGAAATGCAAGTATCGTACCGGAATCAGGTGCTCGTCTTTCTGATGGCACTCGCGCGCAAAGGGCAGCGAGTCCCACTTGGCCAAGGCATCGCCGCGTGCTGCGATCGACGGCTGCAACACCGCAGACGTGAGGTCGCGAATGAAGGTGCGCGCATGGTCTTCTGTCTCGTTTGTCACAGGCGTACCCCAGTTGGGGTGGAACGACATGCCCGAGCCGATGATCGCAATGTTCTCGTTCCGAAGCGCCGAGAGCACTTGGCCGATCTTGAAGTGCAACACTGGGTCCCAACCCGCGACGACGCTCACTTGGACAATCGGAATGTCTTCCTGCGGGCGAATGAGCTTCATTGGCACAAATGTGCCGTGATCCCAGCCGCGCGTCGGGTCCAAATTGGATGGAATGCTGGCCTGCGCTAGAAGTGCGTGGATCTTCTGCGCAATCTCAGGCGATCCTGGGGCCTTGTACGTAACCTTGTACGCTTCGTCCGGGAAGCTACACGCATATCGTAGTGAGTCACCGCTCGACCGGGAATCACCCCGTCGTACTTGTAGTAGTCGTAGAGAAGGTCGTGGGACGCCCCAGACGAAATCTGGACGCGGTCGTCTTGCCAGTGCGCCGAGATGACGACGATGGCGCGAGGCCGAGTCGCCGCTTCTTCGAGCCCAAGGAGCTTCGGCGTGTCGAACTCCATGAAACGGCGTGTCGATCCGTGGTCCGGGTCCGAGACAGGCCGGAGCAGCGGCAGCGGACCCGCGCCGTGGTTGACAAAGATAGCAGCTGCACGCTTGCTGGTCATGATGGTAGTAGTTGGTGAAGCTGTGGTTGAAATTGAAGAATGATCTCTAAGGCGAAGCAGTTATTTGGCGCGAATTCGGAGGGGTGTATCCGGACACGCTATCCGGCCGGACGGCGCTTCCGGGACAATAGTGTACACAAGACGCCAGATGTGCGACGCCCGATGACGTCGGACGCGCCGTGTGGCACAGGTGGTGCGTTGAAAGCAAGGGGATGTGACGTGACGTCTCAATGTACACCGAGGCGCCGATGTGGGCAAGCTCCAAGGAGTTATGGTTGCGATGGAATCTTGAAAGTTGGGATGGTCGAGCAGCGTTCCGCCTTGTTGACAACGTCTCAGCTCAATGGCCTCGATCCTTTTTGATCTTACGCCCGTTCGACCAACTTATTCAGGACATCTATCGAGCCTCCCGTTTTCTTGTCTGCTTCGATCGTGCGTACGCACCCCGAATGCCATTTTAAAGGTAGCCGAGTCGCGTTAACGATGACAAATAGCCTGCACATTTTTGTCTCTTGACGCACCAGCATTTCCCAACAAGTCTTATCGAAGGCAGCCAGCGTAGCCCACTACTCGTGTACATCGCTTTTTTCCACTTTTAAGACGATAATTTATTCGGCAAACTACATCACCGATGAGTCGCACCGATGAGTCGCCGACGTCCTTGGTGGGTTTCTTGTCGAGAGACACCGTTGCTGCCATGCTTTACTTTACTGCCATGCAAATGATGTCTCGGCGCCCGTCGATCTATTGAATGCAGAAAAGCCAATAAGAAATCAATAACAATTGAAACAAGTGCTTATTAGTTATGCATGGATCACCGCTGCAATGCTACGTCGACGCGGGCGGCGGCGGTACGCTCGTTGGCTCTGCTTCAACGACAGGCGGCGGAGGCGGCGGCGGCGGGATCCCACGGCGGCGACGGTTGATTTGCAGCGCTTTGCCTTCTGTCGCGAGCATCTTCTCGGCGACAGGGTCGTTCTTGCCGTGGAAACGGTCCTTGATATTCTGCTTTGCGAGTGCGCTGCCCTTGGGCGGAGGCATCTCGTGCAGGTACGGGCACATCTCACCGCGCTTGCACTCGCCGCGCGCAAAGAACGAGCAGAGGTGCGGGCGGTTGCGCTTGTAGTACGGCTCGACGCGGGCCATGCGAAGAAGCGCTTGGTTGGGCGCTGACGACTTGCCATACGCGGAGACGAGGCCTTCGTCTTCGAGCATGAGGTTGTGCTGCTGCGCGTGGTACTCGCGGTTGGCCTCGCTCAGGGGCACGTTCTGGCGCTCCTGCTCCGAGAGGAAGGCGTCGCGGACCTGCACGGGCAGATGGTACTGCAGATCCAAGACACACGTCT